CCTCCCTTCCCCTCCCTCTGAAAAGCAATGGAAAGGATATCCTCTGGTGACGATTAAAAAGAAGAAAAGGAACAATGTCTGAAAATCTCTCAAATTTGGCAAAAGGTATAAATTTAGATTCAAGAAACTCGGTCTCATCAGGATAACGTCAAAGAAATACATGGCCAGACACATCCTCATTGAACAAGCCAGACTCTCTCTTCTTTAGGAAACACACTCGTATTTAATGAGCTTACTACTGAAAACTCCAGATGGAGACCTGGAAAAACCTAGAAGGTAGTATTGGCTATTTTTCCCCTTTTAAAATAGAAGACAAATTAACAAGACTTCTAAAAGCACTTTCAATGTGCACGAACGATGAGTAATCAGCGTGAATCAATTGTGAGGCCCCTTCCTGTGTCCACGTCATTAATTGGTTAGTGTTTCTTTTCTTTGGGGGTGAAAATTAACTTTTGAGCCTATAAAAATTTTAAAGTTGTAACAATCTGTTAGTCTTACTTTTTCCTTCTCATTCTAGAAACTGGTGTGGTTTTATCATGTTCTTAATTCTTGGGACAACTTTCAAGACAGCAAGATAGTTTAAAATTACCTTTTATGTTGAAAACTTTGAAATTGCTTGAGAATCCTGCGATGTTTGAAATATAGAATAAAATAATTACTACACGAGACTTCCTTTAAACATTTTTGCTCTTAATTAAGCTCTTAATTAAAGCAATTTGCCATAGAAATGACAATACTATGCAAAGCGATATACAGATTCATTGCAATCCCTATAAAAATACCAGTGGGATTTTTCACAGAATGAGAACAAATTATCCTAAAATTTATATGGAACCACAAAAACAACCCAAATAGCCTCAGCAGTCTTGAGAAAGAAGAACAAACTGGAGGTGTCATGATACCTGATATCAAAATATACTGTAAGATTATAGTAATCATAACACATGGTCCTGGCATGAAAACAGACACATAGATCAATGGAATAGAACAGAGAGCCCAGAAATAAACCCACAGCTACATATTCAACTAATCTATGAAAAGGAGGCAAGAATACATAAATGGTGTTGGGATACTGGACAGATACATGCAAAATATGAAATGAGACCATTTTCTCACACAATATACAAAAATAAACTCCAAATGGATTAAAGGCTTAAATGTAATACCTGAAACCGTAAAACTTCTTGAAAGAAACAGAGACAGTAATTTTTTTTTTAATCCGCACCCGAGGATATTTTTTCCATTGCTTTTCAGAGAGAGTGGAAGGGGGAGAGAGGGAGAGAGGGAGAGAGAGTCTCAGACAGAGAAACATCGATGTGAGAGAGACACATTGATTGGTTGCCTCCCACATGTGCCCCAACCGGGGTCAGGGACGAAGCCTGCAACCAAGGTTTGGGCCCTTCGCTAGAATTGAACCAGGGACCCTTCAATCCACAGGCTGATACTCTAACCACTGAGCCAAATCAGATAGGGAGGCAGTAAATTTTTTTTTTGACATCACTCTAAGCAATATATTTTTGGATTTATCTCTGCAAACAAAAGAAACAAAGGAAAAATAAATCAGACTACATAAAACTAAAAAGTTTTTGCACAGTGAAAGAAATCATCAATAAATGAAATAACAGCTTACTGAATGGGAGGAGATATTCACCAATGATACATCTAATAAGGGGTTAATATCCAAAATATATAAGGAACTCATACAACTTAACACCCCCAAAATCTTCAGACAAACCAGATAAAATATGGACAGAGTGCCCTGGCCAGTGTGACTCAGTGGTTAGAGCATGTTCAATTCCTGGTCAAGGGCACATACCTGGGTTGCAGGTTCAATCCCTGGTCCCAGTTGGGGTGTGTGCAGGAGGCAACCAATCGATGTCTCTCTCTCTTCCTCTGTCCCTTTTCCTCCCTCCCTTCCACTCTCTCTAAATAATCAATGGAAAAAATATCCTCAGTTGAGGATTAACCAAAAAAACAAAGCAAAACAGAGACCCTGAATATACATTTCTTAAAAGGGATTATACAGATCGCCAAGAGACATGGAAGTATGGTAAAGATCACTAATTATCAGGAAATGCAAATTAAAACCACAATGAGATATCACGTTATACCAGTCAGAATGGCTATTATTAATAAATCAACACACCACAAATGTTGGCAAGGATGTGGAGAAAAGGGAAACCTTGTGCACCGTTGTTGGGATTGCAAATTGGTGCCGCCATTATGGAAACAGTATGGAGGTTCCTCAAAAAATTAAAAATAGAATTAGCATATGACCCAGCAATTTCATTTCTGGGTATTAATCCAAAGAAATTAAAAACACTAATTTGAGAAGATATATGCATCCCTATGTTTACTGCAGGATTACTTATAATAGCCAAGAAGTGGAAGCAACCTAAGCATCTTTTGATAGATGAATGGGTAATGAGGAGGTGGTGCATATATATAAAGGAACACTACTCTAGCCATAGAAAGAATAGAATCTTACTATTTGCAAAAACATGAATGAACCTAAAGGGTATTACGCTAAATAAAATAAGTAAGGCAGAGAGAGACAAATACCATATAATTTCACTTATATGTGGAATCCAAAAAAACAAAATAAATGAGCAAATAAAACAAACTCATAGATAGAACAAATTGATGGTTGCCAGATGGAAAGGGGTTGGATGTCTGGGTCAGAAAGGTGAAAGGGATTAGGAAGTACAAATTGCCAGTTATAAAAATAGTCATGGGGCAAAAGTGCAGCTCAGGGAATACAGTCAATAGTATTGTAATAAGTATGTAAGGTGCCAGGTGGGTACTAGACTTATTGGGTCATGATAACTTTATAAGGTATCTTAATGTCTAATCAATATTTTGTACATCTAAAACTAATATAATATTGTACGCCAACCGTAATTGGAAAATAAATTTAAAAGTAAAAAATTGAAGGGAGAATTAGTGCACTAAAACATATAGCTGAATGGATTATCCATGTTCACACAAAAAGACAAAGATATTAAAAGTATAAAGGAATGATTAAGAGGAAATGGAAGAGAATGTGATTAGATCTAACATATACCTAATTGGAGTTTCAGAAGACCATTACAAATAGAAGAGCAGAAAGGTAAAAATAGAAAAGATAAGGACAGAGAATTTAGGAACACATCAGGGGCATGAATCCTTAGGCTGAAGAAGCACAAATATATCTCCAATCACTTAACCTTTTCTCAAGAAGCTACAGGAGGATGTGCTCCAGCCAAACCAGAGAGCAAACAAAGCAAGAGGAAGACATCGAATCCAGGGGCAGAGATCCCAGTAAGAGAGGGAAAAGGGAACTTCCGAGACAAACAGCAGTGCTAAACCTGGCTGGTTCAAAATAAGTGAGCAATGCTTCTGTAACAAGGAGGCCTTGGGGTTCCTTCTGAGGGGAGGATCACTGCCTGCATTAGAACACCTGTGGTGTAGTGGGTGACCAGAAGACTTGGTAGCTCCTAACCCAAGAAACCCAATCTCTTCTATGTCTTGCTGTGAGATCCTAAATGGTGAAATGGGAATGATTATATATCTTATGCAGGGCACTGGGGGGAAAAGAGATGACATGTAGTGGGGAATCTGCTGGGAAAAGGAGCTTTCAAATCAGGCTCACTCTTACCTTTAGTTCATGGATGGGCACAGGCTGAGATGGAAGGCAGGAAACACCTTTGATCTTTATGATCAACGGGTTTAAGTCCTGCTTTTGCTCTTCTGACATGATAGGAACTTCTGTTTTTAAAGTCAAGAAACAATCTAAAATGTTAGCAGACTTTTTACTGCCACGGCTCACCACAGTTTGCCATCCTGGTGGGGGGTGAGGGATACACACAGCATTAGAATGCTACTCATGACATTCCCAAGACAAGCACAGGGGGATGAGGCAAGCTAAGACGAGCCAATGATAAAATTACAACAAAAAAGAAATCTTAAAAAAAAAAAAAAAATTGGAAACACATGCAGATAGCATGTTATACACCAATTTCTCAAATTGTTTCCATAAACTCTCTAAGAGAATTTAATTCTTTAAATTTAATCTTCATGATCATCTTGTAATATAAGCAGTTCCTGAATCACCTATAGGATACAATAAGGAATACGGATAGTTGGGTGCCACCCTGAACAGTCTGATTTACTTGGCCCTCACATTGTAATTTTAAAAAAAGCTCCCCAGGTGATTGTGCTCTCTAGTACAGTAGTTACTGTCTATATGTGACTATTAAATTTAAAGTATATACAGTTTAAAATGCAGCTTAAATTTAAATTAATTAAAATTATATACAGTTTAAAATGCAGTTCCTTCTTCACATGAGTCTCATTTCAAATGCTTAGTAGCCATGTGTGGCTATGAGCTCCTGGACTGGACAATGCAGACACAGAACATCTCCATCACTGTAGAAAGCACTCGTGCGGAGTGCTGCTCCAGGCTATTACTTTAGGATAGAACACATTCAGGAACAAATCATGCTAATGTCTGTTTTGGTCCATTGTGTCTCTTTAACTGCTGGGGTCCAATGAGGAAGGCATAGATATTGATGTAGAACATAACTGATACATTTGAGCCAAGCTGGTTTTGCAACAGTACAACTAGAAAAAAGGGCAGGTGAATTGAGCCACTGCATGGCACACAGAGAGCTGTGAGAATACTTTTCTCATAAAAGTTGTCCATTCATTTCACCAGGTGGAGACATACTGGCGTACGGAAAAAAATACCAAAAGCTCCAGTTTTGCAGAGAGGGTTAGGTTCAAATCCTAGATCTGACTCTTGGTAGTCATGTGACCCACAACAAGTAAGAGGTTTTTTGAGGCTCAATTTACTCATGTGCAAAATGGGCACAGCTACCACCTTTCTTAGGGCTATGCACATCGAGATGCCAGGAACATTGCTTAACACATAGTACATGCTAAAAAAAAAATCAGCCTTATTCTTTTCAAAATGCTTGTAAACATACTTCTAGGGCATAGAGACACCCAGTCACGCATGCTCAGAAAGACTAGGCGCTTCCAAAGCAGGCTGTGGGCCAGCGTGTGCAGCTGTCCGCACGTGTGGGGAGCATCTCCTGGGGCAACCCAGCCCTTATTACACAGGTTAGCTGTCTGTGTTGTGCCTGGGGAAGACCCTGGATTGCCTGTGGCTGACCCTACTGGCTCCTCATGCGACAGCCAGCATGGGAAAGTCCGTCTTCCTTGATGGGCACTCCTGATCCCAGCTTCCTTTGCAGCTAAGGTACAGTTATGTAACCGCATTTATTCTATAGGACTAAAGGTAAGATCTTTTGAGGAGCTTCTGCAACAGATTTTTATTCCTTATGAAAAGAGGACCAGAAAAGGAAATGTCCTTCCTTCCTGCCTTTGGGAATTATCATGTGAGGACATGATGTTTGGAGCTGCAGCAGCCACTTTGTGACAGTGAGAATTAGGAGTTTCCCAGCACCTGTGGGACTGGACTCTGAAAGGACCTAAACTGAAATTTCTGCAGATTGGCCAGTAGAATGTACACACTCATGCTGATGGCCAAAAACCCCCACAATAAAATAGGTTTGAAATTATTCTCTAAGGAGAAAAACAAGAGGACCCCCTTCCCCCCATGTTACCCTTTTTAAAACAAAGTCACATAATTTTACCCAAAATATATCCTGAACTTTCCATCATCAAAACATGAATTTAATGAATACCTACTTATTACTTATCAAACTGTAGAAAACCTAGTTTGTAACTTGTGATAGACCTTACAAAGCAAAACAATCAAACCCTTATTCTGCCACTAAGCTGTGTGACTTCCGGTAAGTTACTTAACTTCTCTGGCTTTTGATTCTTCACTGAAAAATATTGGTGAGAATGGTATCACCATCACCACCACCAGTTCACTGGGGGACCAGAGTTTGTCATGAGAAGTAATGATGGGACATTAGATACTGGTTCCCTTTCCTAACTCCCTTTACTAGATGTTTTGGTAAACACCTGTAGAAACATGTTTATAAGAAGCAGCATTTGATTAGCAAAATTGTGACATTTATTATTCTCACAGGTTTCCTTTGACTTTCAAATTGGACCTGGGTTCAAATCCTGCCTTCACACTTACTCACTATGTAATCTTAAAAAAGTGCATGTAACCTCTCTGTGCCTCTGTCTCCAATAGAGATACAAACCCCCACTTTGCATGACATGAGGTAGCACAGAGCAGGGATTTGATCGCCACGAGCGCCCTGTTTGTGGGCTTTCAGCCGCATGTGACCGACGCCAGGGCCGCGGGGAGGGGCTGCGGTACCTGCGAGGAGCGGCATGACCGCCAGCTGGATGGAGAAGGCGCCCTGCGCCCAGTAGTCCGCCAGCTTGGGGTCGGCTTCCTCCTCTGCTGGGTACTTCTTTCTTTTCTTCTGGTTTTTCCTGCCCCTCTCCGCTTCCTTCCATTTAACTGGGAAATCAAAGGAGGGGAAAGGGCGTTAAGAGAAGCTCACATTCAAGCTGCCACATGTGAATGCACGCACACTGCAGAGGTTCGGGAAGGTTCTGGAAGCTCCTTGAAGGCAGAGGTTGTTCCTTGTGTGCTGCCCTTCCCAGCTCCTGGAGAGGCATCTCAGTACTGGGCCAGTTGCCAGCTATATGCAGGGAGAAGTTGAGGGGTGTCCTGACTCCCCACCCGCTACTGCCTGAGAACGTGGGCAGGAGGGGCTGAAGTTCCCACGAGCTATTGGGTCCATCGCATAAAGGCCGTGGGAATGGACTAGAAAGCTCAGAGCTAGATCCACCCATATGAGGGACTTCATAGGCACCAGAGGTGGCATTTCAAATCAACGGGAAGGAATGGACGAGTCGATTAATGATCTTGACTATCGGATCTTGACGATCCACCGGGAGGCAAATGAAACTATGGGACACCTCATGCCACATGCAGAAGGAACTGCAGGCCAAAGGTGGGAAACATCTCCGAAAGCATGAGAAGGGTGCACAGGAGACTCTACTGACATCCCGAGGAGGACAGATTTCTTAAAACATTGTCAAAGGTACAAACTAGAAAGGAATGGTTAACTGTTTCACCAAATAAAAATAAGTTACAGATCCCAGTCTATGATGCTTATAGTGCATGCACCTGACCGCATAATTATCCAGGAGATGCACACAACGAACCTTGTTAATACATAAGAAAAATGTGAAACCCATCAGGAAAATAAGAAAAGATATGAGGACAGACAAGTCATTCGCATGTTATCAGGTGAGCATACGAGATGCCCTCCGCCCCCCTAGGAGTCGGCAATTAAGCCCCTGGCTGTGCCAAGCCCGGGTGATGACTTGGGGCAATGGGAACTGTCAGGAGGGCGACCGGGTGCAACCCAGGGAGGAAACGCAGCACACTGAGCGGCGACCGCGCTGGGCAACGCCCTACGCCGGCGATTGTCAACCTTTTTCATCTCATGGCATATAAACTAATCATTAAAATTCTGTGGCACATGGAAAAATGTGTTATATTTTTTGCCTACCTGCCAAAAATAGGTATAACTTTGATTCATTCACACCAGATGGCTAATGTCGTGTTGGCTGCTGTCATTTTTTTTTACTTGACAATCTAAGGGGAATGTGCCCCTGATTAAACAGTCAGGTGTTGGGTGTTTTAAAAATTCTTGCAGTACAGTGGTTGAGAATCGCCGCCCTAGACTCTCCTGCACGGGCACAAGGACACCCGCACAAGGATGCCCACTAGGGCAGTGCTGGTGGCAGCGGGAAACTGGAGACAAGCGCTGCCCCTCAGTGGGGGGCTGCAGGGGTGAAGGATGGTGCATCCGTCCCACAAGTACTATAGAAGTTGGAATAAAGGCTCTGGACTGACACATATTGACACAAACAAGTCTCAGAAATTATAGTATTACCAGCAGATGAAATGTTCTTTAGTCCCCACAAATAAAGGTTATGGAAAGTTTTGAAGGAAATTGGAAAGTGCACGTAATGACACATTCATCTCAGAATACACAATTACGTACCCAGGATAACCTCATTTATGTTAAAAATCGTAGAAAAAAGGAAAGGAATTTGCCATAATATGATAAACCCGGTAATGGAATTATAGATAACATCCTCTGCTTGCTTTATACTTTTTTATACTCACTGGATTTTCTAAAAATACACAGTTATAACTTCTACAGTTAGAAAGCTTTTTGTAAGCCACAAAATAGGCACAAATGAAATGAAGAAAAAGACTCCACAACCCAGAGCAGGGGGTGCAGAGAGCGGGCCTGCTACGGCCGGGTGCGAGGGCACCGGCAGGGCGGCTGGTGGGCGGCAAGGACTCCGGCGCAACACTGCGCCAGCGTCACCGCCAACCCGTCGAGCCCTTTCCCCGCCAGAGTCCACAAGGGTCACCTCTACGCACCATGGAAAGGCTTTAAGAGTTTTCCTGCTTTTTCTGGCTTTCCTGGTTCATACTCCTGGTTCCATTCTTCATTGACCTGAATGCTTGCTTCAGACGGTCTTCTCTGATTTAAAACCAAACGTTTCACTTCATCTAGAATGCAGGATTAAAAACAATCATTGATTCGATTAGCCAGAAATACTCATTGAATACCTACCATGTGACAGTGACTGTCCTGGTGTTGGAGATGGAGCAATGGATAAGAGGCAGGGCTCCTGACCTCCCGGAGCTGTCGCCTAGGGGCCTTCTTCAAAACACCAGGAAACTCAAACCTCCACTGGCAATGGCTTCTTCCAAATAAGACCACTAAGTACTTGACATAGATTATTCCATTTCATCATTACAGTGCACAGGCCTGTCCCACAACAGGGAAAGATCAGGCCCCAAACGCCAATGCTGAGCATAAAAACCCTAGACATAAATGAAAGATTAAACGCCGGAAGCCCTAAGCACCTGATGTGAAAAGGGCTCCCTGGGAAGTGAGGCTGCAAAGCCTGAGAAAGGCCAATTTTCAAGTCATGGAAAACTAGTTCTGATTGTGGCACTGCCATTTGCTTCAAGCAAGTGACAGTCTCAGAGGCTTACTATCAAATGAGAATGATGGTATTTCCCTGCAAGCCCCTGACAGCAGCGATAATACCGTATTCCACATGTCCTCAGAGGCACATTGCTTTTACCTTTCAATATCTCTAAAAATGGGAATGCACCTTTACAATGAATGCCATGGCATAGTTTATTATTTTTTCTAAATTCTCTATGGACAACACACTCTCTCCTTTTTGCCTGTGCCTGGGCAGGGGTGGGGGGACCACTCTCACTGTCCCGCTCCAGGCATATGACCAGAGATAGTAGGTACATGCCCAAGGTCACCAGCTAGTTCAGGATGGAGACAGGATGGAATTTAGCTGTCTGACTTCAAAACCCGAGTCTTTCTACTCTTTCCAGCACCCTCCTTTGAGGGGAGTTAAAAAGGAGATTTTTCTGGGTTTGATATGATAGTGACATAGTAAGAGTCTAGAGTGTCTACGTGAAAATGCTAATATGGTGTCTTGGGGTAGTGGGATTTTTAAAAAAAGCTTTCTCTTGTTTCTTGGTATCCTCTAAATTTTTTCAGTGAACACACAATACTCATTCAAGGAGACAGGCTTGGGGTGGGTGCCTATGTTGGCACCACCCAGAGATAGGAAGTCCCCAAAGGTGGCAGAGGTGAAGGTGGTGGCTAATGTGCCTGCACACAGACACGGGCGGCACTTCCTAACACCCGAGCATGTTCTGGAGGGATGACTTTCCACTGACACAGAAACCAGTGTGAGCCCAGGAAATGAGGGGAAGGGGGGCGCCAGTTCTTCTCCTGTTACTGATGAGAAGCCACAACCCTTAGAAACGTTTCAAATAAAACATGGATTCCTGACTTACCCAAAGATTCTGTATCTTCTAAACATCCAGCTTTCTTTAATCGAAAATACCTGACTTTTTTTGAAACCTTGTCTGTAGTGTCCCAGAGCATCAAGGTTATTTTGTAAAAATTTATTTTCTTTAGTAATTCCTTTGTCACGTTGATGTCAAAATTTTGGGTCCATGACACCCAGACTTTGTCCCCTTCGTGCCATGGCTTCACGGTCTGTGCAGAAAAATAGCAAGAGACTTTCAGTGTGGGGGGCTCAGAGGCTCAGCAGTCTGGCAGTACCCACCACTGCCAGCCTTGCCCTATTGGCAGTGAAGCCGGGTCCCGCTCTCCACCTGTTTGGCTTTTGTATCTGGCTCTCTCCCAGGTTCCAAGTCACATCCAGAAATGAGTGTCATGAACTGGGGCCTGTCACACTTCTGGGTTCCTTGGGGAAAAAATTAAGTTAAAGCAATTACCTGCAAATAGTGTCCTGTACAGTGATTCCAATCCCAGCTGGGCCACAGGCAGGAGTGTGTGTGTGTGTGTATGTGTGTGTGTGTGTGTGTGTGTGTGTGTGCAGGCAGGCAGGTGTGCACACACATGTACTCACACGCACACAAAAAAAGAAAATTGCGGGAGCTACAAAAACTTGAAACAACAAAGAAATTATTAGGTAAAAATATCTAAGTAAAAAATCATTTAATTGGTATTATTAGGTCAATGCAGATTCTCATTGGGTAGGTCTGGGGTGGGCCCCAAGATTCTGCATTTCTAGCAAGTTCAAGGGGAAGTGAGGAAGTGAGTACACTCTATGTAGTATTAGGCTGTATGTTATATGTGAGGCTACACACACACACACACACACACACACACACACACACACACACACACCTTTACTCCTGAATCCAGTAACACTTTGACCACCGCCGGAAACACCACCAGGTCAACTTTTTCAGGCTCTTTGTCATCTGGCAGGAGGAAATACTCAATGTGGTAGGTGTGGTGACCCTTTGCAGCAGGTTTGTCCATTTTAGGGTGTTTCTTGTGTTTTTCGACCAACCTGACGCATTTTCCTTTTGGACCTAGAAGATACAGATTTAATGAGTCTTGCTTTAACCTCGCACGGGAAGCAGACCTGTTTCCGCAGCTCCCGGGAAGCAGGAGCCAGAGGCCGTGGGAGGCTGGTGCGGCCACGCTGCTGGCCTGGCTTGGGGGCTAAGATGCGGGCCCAGCCCTCCTAGCCGGCAGGGGAGCAGGCGACTCTGGGCTAGGACCAGGCGCGAGGGTGCACAGTTTCAGTGCGTGACTCTGACAGTGTCTTCTCATATTTTTTCACCTTAGGCACTTCCTGTGCTTCGCCCTTGCCTCGGCAGTAAGAAGTATGTAAGAAAAAATCCCAGCACCCTATGATTTGTGCAACGTGGGCAGGATAAATAAGGTTCTGAAGAACAACAGAGGAGGCGGGGGAAACTCTGCCTCGGGTGCGCGGGAGGAGCCCCTTAAGGAACCTCAGCAGAGTCTCATAGAAGGAAAGCTGGCAGGCATTCCCGGTAGAGGGCACAGCCCAGCAGGACCTCCTGAGTGGAGCTGCACAATGTGGGGTGCATGCGGAAAGGACGCAGAAAGTAGGATGGGCTTCGGCCAGAGACCAGGGCATCCACTGCCTGCCCTTGACCTGAAACTGAACCCTCCAGGCTGGGGCTTTGCACACCAGAAGAAGATTCTTCAGAAGCTCCATAAATACTTAATCCAATTTCCATTCTATAAAAATATGATGACTATATTCAAAGCCGTAGTTTTAATATGTCAAGTTTTTAACACCCAAGAGACTGCTTCTGTATTAATTTTGTGCCACCAGGAGAGTTAGCTTTTGTGTAGAGCTTGGAATAAAGCTTCTCCAGCCAGTCTTGGTAGGCATCAGACTTTCTTGTGAAGGCGCAACTAAGCAGAAAGTACGCTGCACTTCACGGGTCTGTGCTCTGACTCACGGTGGGCCGGCAAGCGGACACACAGAGCCTGCCGGCAAGAGGAAACAACTGCTAGAAACCCTTTGGTGGGCAATTTGACAATATCTATAAAAAAATGTAAATGCGTACAGTAAGTCCTCAATATCATTGATAGGTTCTGGATTTCAAATGAAACTGCATATAATGGAACTAATTTTATCATAGGCTGATTGATATAAACAATAATTAAGTTTTTACAGCATCTCATCAATGTTAGAATGAAATGATGTTGAACAAAACAACATTATTCAAAGACCTGCTGTACCTTAAACCCAGCTATTCCACTTTTTGAAATTCAGGCTACGGAAGTGCCTGCACACAGGCTACGGAACAGAAATGTGCACACAAGGAGGGCTACTGCAGGACTGTAACAGAAACGATTTGGAAACTTAAATATCCATCAATAAGGGGAAGGATAAGTTAGACACATACTATATAGGTGTTCCAAACAAAACATCAGCAAAGTAAAAACAAATATGCTCATTTCCTTTAACACATCTAAGATATTGTCAAATTTTTAAAAAGCAAGTTTTAGAATAGAATGTGTAGGATTTCATTTCTCTTAAAAAACAATTTGCATAAATAAACAAATCCATAAATACTCAGATATTGAAGGAAAAAACATTGAACCTAGGATTTTATATCCAGCCAAAGACATGTCCTTCAATGTCTTCAAAGGTATTGGCATGATAAAAAGACTCAAAAAAACAAGATAAATGAACAAACAAAACAGAAATAGCCCTAGCTGGTGTTGCTCAGTGGTTAGAGCATCGACCCTCGGACTGAACGGTCCCAGGTTCGATTCTGGCCAAGGGCATGTACCTTGGTTGCAGGCTCGCCCAGTGTGTGGGAGGCAACCAATCAATGTTTCTCTCTCTCTCTCTCCTTCACTCTCTCTGAAAAACAATGAAAAAAATATCCCCAGGGGAGGATAAATAAATAAAATAAAACTGGTTGCAAGGCTTGAAATTAAAAAACAACAAAAAACAGAAATAAACTCTTAGATACAGAAAACAAATTGATGGGCACCAGATGGGTGGGTGAAAAAAGTAAAGGGAATTAAGAGTACAAATTGCCAATTATAAAAACAGTCATGGGATGTAAAGCATAGGGAATATAGTCACTAACATTGTAATAACTATGTATGGTGTCAGATGGGCGCTAGGCTTACAGTGGTGATCACTTTGTGAGGTATATTACATGTCTAATCACTATGTTCTACGCTTGAAACTAATGTAGTATTGTATGTCAAGAGTAATTGAAAAAAATTTAATTAATAAAAAAGACCCTCAGACATACAAGGCCTCATAAACTTTGGCTGCACAGAGATCTCCTTTGTAAATGCCTTTCAAAGAAGCACCAAAATAAGACAAACAAACCTAGGAGATGCTGCAGGAGATGTGAGGGCTACGGCGATCAAGTAAACACCAGTTTTCTTTTAGTTGGTATTTGCCAGAAGTCTTTTTCTAAGCTCTTTAGACCCAAGATAAAAAGCATCATTACAAACAGAGGAGGTTACCACATTAGGACAAAAAGTTCAACTCACTAACAAGATTGATCAGTTCTAAACATGGTATACACCTAAGCAAATAGCCTCCAAAAATCTGAAGCAACAGTTGGCAGCTACAAGGAGAAGCTGAAATTAATCATGGGAGGGGGGTAGGTGTAGTTTAAGTAGACAAAAAAGGTATATAAAAGTGGAGTACTTTTTTCTGTCCTTAATCTTGGGGTTCAACAATATGACTTGTTTTGGCCAATAAAATGTTAGCAGGTGGGAGGTGCCAAAAGACATGAGTGCTTAGGTGACTGGGCTTGCCTGCTGCTGTGTCTCTGCTTTTCCATAATATGAATGTGTCTGGATTAGCCCACATGCCCAGAAGGAGGGTGACAGACACATGGAGCAGAGCTGAGCCACTGTAGGGAGCCCAGGCTGGAGCAGCTGGCCAGCTCACCCAGGAGGACAAGGGATTCCTGTGTGAAGCCAATGAACTGGGGAGCTTGTTTGGGTTTGTTACACAGTGCTGTCGCAACTAGTAGCTAATCAATATACCTTTATGCTCAGAGATTCAATACACCTGAGAATCTGTATTTTAAATGAGGAAAATAAGTGATGCACAATTAGCTTATGGGAACAAAGGCCTTAATCTCTCTGTCATTTCTTCATCTGCTAAAGGCAGAAATAACTCTTACTTTTTAGGGTTATTGAGAGGATTAAGTATGTGAAGGCCACACAACCACTTACTTGCCTGGCCAACAGTGGGCCCCCTAAAATTGCAGTTTCTTTCCTGATCTTTGCTCCTGGAATCCACCACCCTACTTGGGAAAGCGGTGGAGGGAGTATTTGTGTCCTAAACTCCTGGCCGAAGGTCATTAGTCCACCCCCTTTTTGTGGAATTCTGCTCTAGCACTTACAGATATTCACTGGGAAGGCCAGTGAGATGATGAATTTGCAGGGGACCACCTGGGGCACTTCGGAGCTGAAAGTGCTGGCACGCCCATCTGGGGACCTGCTACTGCTGTACTGCTGGTCAGACTCTGACTCCTGGGCCTTGGCACTCAGGCACTCCTCCACTTGGCACTCGCTCATGGACTGGCAAAAGTTGCTCAAGGCACCCATGGGCTCCATGCTCTCCACGTCTTCATCCTCCCAGTCCCAGGCATGCAGCGACATGCTGCAGAGCTCCCCTCCTCGCCCAGCACTCCTGGCTGGAAGAAAAGAAAGGTGCTTCTGTCATCACCCTCTGCCCCCAGGAGGCCAGCCTGGCCTCTTTCAGGAACAAACACCGTTCTCCCTCCTCCCTTCCCTTGTCCTGTCTGAGTTGCATGGCCAAGGCCTCAGACACTGCCTGGCGTACAGCAGGCACTCTCACTAAAGTTAGACGAGTGGAGGAACCGCAGAGAATGGTCCTGGCGGTAATTCTGATGCTAAGCAGCACCAGTTTCTCTAACTCTGCCCTGGCCCAGCGCCAGCTGCGTTAATTTGGCGGTTCTGGAATGCCTACATCAGGGGAGCAGACCCCCCGCCCCCAGGCTTTCCACTCAGGGAGGCCTGGGGAGCGCCGCAAGCCAGGCTAAAGGACAGCCCGTGCAAATGCCCGGCAGGCAAAGGAGGGCGAGGACCCTCAGGCGAGACACAAACGGGCTTTGAGCGCGGGGATCCGGGCAGACGCAGCTGACCCCGGCTAACGTTCAGCAGAGGGTGCAGCGTGGGGCCGCGGTGGAGGCGGGTGGGAAACACAGGCTCCTCCAGGCGCCCACGGTACCTGCGGGCGGACGCGGGACGGCAGCCGGCTCGTCCGGGTTCCAGGCTG